CCCCCGTCCACCTCTCACAAAGGTAAAACACGCTCACCAACTCTCGGCCACCGGGAGACTCCGTAAATGTGATAATCCGCTCGTCGTCGTTCTTCCAGCAGGCACTTCCGGCGCGCGTGTGACGTCAGCAGAAGCGCCCGCCGCTGGCCAGCCTCCGGCGCCGGGGTCTAAGGAGAACCTGGGAAAGGCTTTACCGCCGTTACCTTCTCGTCTGCTGCGCTTGACCCTTCCCAGCACCCGCGATGCCAAGGCCACTGCGAGGGACGAGGGATTGTCGGGGTTGAGCCCCCACTGAGCCGAGGGCTCACGCTCTTCAGATCTCCCGGGCTCGCCCCACCTGAAGGTAAACGCCTTCTCAGCTGCGGCCTTTCCTCCGGCGGGCCCCTCCCCAGACCCGGCGGCCGACACGTTGTGCCCTTTCTCCCGCCACCCTTTTTAGTCCAGGACCTTTACCGTTAGCTGCCTTCGCAGTTCCCACCAGACCGGCTAACGTGTAAAGAATTTCAAATGGAGAAACTTTTCAAAAGCAACCTCATCGCTGTTGAGTTTCTGAAGTTGTGTAAATACATCCCCAAAAGCGTCTTTCCCGTTACTTAGTGAGTTGGCACGCCTTCGAATCAATATTTTGCCATTTGTGATAGACCGTACCCCTCCTTAAAACATACCACACACGCTCTTTAAATCGAAAATTTGTCGTTAGTTGAGCCAGATGTAATTTTGAGATAGTTTGCTGCCTTTGTAAAATACAGTATGAAAGTTACAGATTATATTTGTAAACTTAAAAATACATATACAGGTCAGCATCCTTCAAGGCATTGAAATCTATTCATACAATAAAATGTGTCATTTCATAATTTAGCAAAAATCTACAAAATTAGTGATTTGAAAGAACTTTATGTGCATAAAAGTGTAGGGCTAAAATTTCCAATTAATGCCACTCCAGGGAAAAACATTAAGACAATGAAAAAGGTACCCACCCGTAGTATTAGTGAAAATCAGTGGCTTAGGTTCTTTCTGAGATCCCAGGCTTTTTCTGCTGTGTGAATGCAAGGTATTATGCGTATTTGAAAGCACATTTTGCCCTTAGCCCTAGGGAAAGTTAAGAGTAGACTCAGAGTTTTTCCTTCACCTGTTTAAAATATTCACTTCTCCATTCCCACCATAGACCAGCACTGAAAGGATTAGTGTGAAGAATCCATTTGAAATAGAACCAGAAAACACCTTTTAGGTGGTGTCTGGAGAAAAGGAATTCATTAATTCACCCAACTGGAATTATTATTCTTAACTATTACTAGGAAGTAGGGAAGGTGTATGAATCTCGCATAATTAAATCAGCAATTGTCTGTATTGGGTTTGAGTTGGAATGAAGAATAAATACCTGGCTTAGATTGCTTTCGGATCTGTTTGTTTTCCCTTCTAGAAATGAGTGGTGGATTGGCCCCAAGTAAAAGCACAGTGTATGTATCCAACTTGCCCTTTTCCCTGACCAACAATGACTTGTACCGGGTAAGTTTGTTTTAGTATTAGTACTATTATCTTTTGAATTCTGTATTTGAGAAACAGTTGTAGCTCAAGCAAATAGTTCTCCTTCACAAAAATTCTTAATAAGTACATTGCAATGCCTGTCCTGCAAATGGGTGGTTGAGAAAAACTGGAAGGAATGACATGAATCCTTTCTTCCAAGTGCACCCTCTTCTTCTACTTTAGGTAGATGTTAACTAGAGAGATGCTGCCTAGATGATAAGTAGTAGTACTAGATTAATTACTTACTTAAGATAGTTTGAATCCCAAAGAACACAGGAAACATGAACTTTAGCTTCCTTCCTTGTTACAAAATAGAGACATTTCTTTTTTTTCTTTTTTTTTTTTTTT